GCGTATGCCACGTAAGGCAGTACTGCCTTCTCAAGGGAAAACCAGGAGGGAACTAAAGCTGATTTATCTGTGTATTTTAATCCAAACACTCAGCAAAGAGCTTTTAAAAGGCAGTAGTCCCTGGGAAAGACGATCAGCACACAACTTATCTGTCCTAGCACAGTGTACTGCTTCATTCCCAAAATATTTGCGTATGTGATCCCTGTTCATCAGGAGCCACACTAATTACACAGTTCAGCGTGGTCTTTTGCTGCCATATTTTCTGCACTCTAGGTGGAGATCAGAAATGCTGAACTTTATTTCTCAGGATCAGAAAGCAAAAGATACCCTTGTAGTGGACACAACATTCAAAGCCATGAGATTTATGAAACTGGGGGCTTTTTGCAACAGTATGACAAATTCAGTATTTAACCAGATCACTCCCACCACACAGAAGCAGAAATATAACATGCCTTTTGTTCAGAGATGTATCATGTTTAATTATTCATTTTTTTCAGTAGCTTAATCATGTATTCAATTAAATAAAGTAATAAACAAAAGTGTTCAAAGTGAGGCGATATTGTCTTTATGTTATTTTTAAGTTGTGATCAGGTATCTGTGGGACATGGAAAACTAAAAATCAAACAAAGTACATAATCTTTGCTTCTCTAATACAATTTAGCGCCAAATTCTGCTCTCGGGTAAGTATCTATGAAGCCTTGCCCATAATGGCATTACAATACAAGGGCGTATTTCTGGGTTTAAAAAGTGCAAAAGATCAGGAGTTGTTCTCACATCTTAAAGGTTCAGCACACATGAAATGAAGAGCTGGTGCCTGGCTCTAACAGATACTGCCCCGCAGACTTAGTGCAAGCAGTCGCAGCATCACTCAGCTCCAACAAATTGATTTGATTTCACCGGATGGTAAAGTTGGCTAAATTTGTTTTTTGACACCAATCTGCCTGCTTCAACGAACGAGAGCACAATTTGGCTCCTTTCTCGGTGAAAAGGAAGCCAACCAAACATGACTTTCACCAGGCCTCAATTTTTGGCCCCAGATTTCAACATACACTATTACAGTGATCAAAAGAACCATAGAAATTACTTATCATTTTACTGTTCCTTAACACATTTCACACAGTCCTGCAGCGAGCAGAATCACAGATGAACCTCAGAACATACAGAGAGCACAACTACTACACTGGACATGAAAAGGAAATTTTATTAAACATGTTTACATAACATGAGTTGGAAGTTCATTTAAAAGCACAGGGGAGTGTTAAGACAAGTGGTCAAAATAGAAAGATACTATCGAATTATAACTAGTTGGTTTTTGGCCACTAAGACAGAACAGGATCTAGAAGTAGTGCACCAATGCTTGAGTTCTTCCTGCTCAGCAGGTCGAGCAGTAACCAATCTGCGCCCTATGGAAAGATGGGCAGAAGAATTTCCACGTGTTGAGTAATAAATAGTTCACTTGGTGCAGGCAGTATGTCTATGAATTAAAACCTAGTGTGTACACAGTTTCTACATGTGTTACAGCCCCACAGTAGGAATCTACACCAAAATAGTTATTAGAAGGAATTTGGTCCGTACTACATCACGTTTTCCATAGGGTAAAAAATAAAGTCCATCTATAGACATTTAGCACCAGACTCACAGACCTAGCCTGGCTAAAACCTGCAAAATGTCTATCAGAAAAATGGATGGCTTAGATTTCTTGGTTACTTCAGTATAGTAATTACGAGCAAACTGTACAAGTACATGCAACATACAAGCTGGCCTATGTGGAACTAACATACATTATTAAATAACCTTTTTCATCTCTTTTTTTACAAAACGTGCATGCAGCTTTGAACAGTTCCAAGTCATGCTGCTCTATTTCTGTGATCACAAAATTGAAAGGCCTGTAAAAGGAGGGGAAACATATCAATGCACCTGCAGGAATCTGCAGTTGTTCGCACATTTACAGAATATCACAAGGGATTTCAAGGCCAAGAACTCAAATGAATAAAAAACAAATTTAAATTGGACTTTTTTTTTTTTTTCTCCAAAAAGTAAGATATCTTGCGTTAAAAAATCAAGCCTTGTGCTTGCATCAATCTCAAAGAAATGTAAACTAAAATTTGATAAAAACGTTAGTAAGTGCAGAATGTTTCCACTGGAATTTCCAGGGAAACACTGAACAACTCATACCATGCTCTATCCAGGGCAGAAGGGTGCGTCTGAAGCGACACACATCAGAGAAGCCTGGGTACAGCTGAAAGTGTCATATGCTCATTCCATTCCTGGTCAACATTTTGGGAAGTCAAATATACATTTATACACAGAAACGTAAATATTCCTCTCCGTTTCTAGGAGGAAAATTGCATTACCAGTAACATATTCAATGTCAAAATTAAGACTAAAGCTGCTTTATACCAGTCCCCAGCAGTAGTTGCAGAATTCTTCAAAATTCTTCCATGCAAAACATCATAAACATGAAAGTTATTATATATAATGCAAACGTATCTGCTTTTTACAAAGAAAAAGTGGCACTGTGATGATTATTTAGTTTTAAGGGTACAGCTTAGATTGGTCATTTGTTCTGGGTTCCCATGTGAGAAACTGGTAAGTACCAGAACCGAGAAAAGATCTGAACTCGCCGGAATTGTAACTGTGGCTGTTGAACACTTTAACAATGCTTACAGAGAGATGCTTCAGCCCTTTTTTGTTTGGTTTAGAAAAAGAAAGGAAGGGTCTCTGTTAGCGTTGTGAGGACTTCTACAAAACTAGCAGAATCACATGGCAAAAAACTAGTGGAAGTGACAAGTACAGAAAAACTGCTGAAACACCAGGAAGGTAACACTGCTTGAGGGCTCTGTCAAAATGTGAAAAATACAACATTGTTAACAGAGTGAGAGCTTCCAGTTTGGGTCATCTTTGACTTAGGTCGAATCTAAAGTTCTCTCTTTCCCAATCATTCTAACCATCGGTGATAGCCGCTAATAGATTGGCCGTATGGGATATACCTTTGTTCTGTCAATTTAAGCCATCTCTTGACAAACAGACATATTTTTGGATAACTACTACAAGGAAAAACAGAAGTGATTGTCTCTCTCCAACAGTGTTTTTTGATCATGTGAATATCTGGTTCCAATTGTTGTCCTGGGTGATATTTTTATGAGACAGCACCTGCTACTACGATCTAATGCAGGGAGGCCCCGTTGAACTTTCCAGGGATGACTGGGAAGCCCTCCGTGTCAGGGGAGTCAAGGTTGGATCCACTAATGATGAAGGTGGAAATAATTTATACCAGCCTATTACCACACTGGACAGATCCAGTTCCTCCAGAAGGATCTGGGCAACCCCCATGAAGCATTTGTGGTCCATTCGGCCGTAGTCTCCCCAAACTATTACCTGGAAGAACATAAAATACAGGTTCAGCATTGTCCCAAGACCATGCTTATATGTTCGCTCCTGCTCTACTTGTAGCGTAAGGAAAATGTTATTCTTAAGGGTGAATGATTGCTCCCTCTTGTGGGAAAACCTCATGGCAGGACAGGAGTGCAAGTCAACAAAAGGGAAATGTTTAACACAGCCAGACATTTTGCAGGTCTGAAACCACAAGCTGCAAGGACGTGTTTGCCGGTATTTATAAAATTAAATGCTTAGTGAGTTGGAATGGGTTTATGCATATTGCTTAAACTTAAGTAAACATGCAAGTGCTTCTCCAAATGATAGCCTAAAATGGGATTCATAAACAACTGACCTGAAGGACTTTACCCTGTGGACTTTCATCAAAAACCAGTGTCTGTTGGTACAAAGGATCAAGGGTCTTCCGTGCAATTCTTGTCTTCTTCTTAGCTATACATGTTCCGTTTTCCAATAAATACACTTTGACATAAGGAGCTGCAAACAGAACATCATGAATTTTATGTTTGGATTAAAAAAATTCTACATTGCACTTCTGAGCTGCAAGACAAATTCCTTAAAAGGAAGCTGCGTGGAAAGAAAATGACACACGTTATCTTCGCTGTATAATCTGAATACAATTCTATTAATAAAATAAATTACACCGCCCATGAGAAATCAATTTGGTTTCTGTAAACTTCGAACGTCGTGATCTAAGCTGTTACTAACAACCATTACGTTTCATGTCTATCATTTTCAAAACACTTTCTTCTGCCAGGAATTAACTGTGACTGATAGCTACTCTGGAGTCCCTATGTACGTCTAAGGGTCAGAGATATTTCAAAACAAAAGACTTTGATGTTTCATTGAAAGGAATATTTAAAACTAAGTCACTCTGATTACACAGACATTAATCACTCTTTCATCTTCAGCTCCTAAGGAGGTTGTAAAGTACCATTTTGGCAAAGTGTTATCTAAAACAGCGGTTCCAGTTGTTACGGTAAGCAGTGGTTGTGGTAGCAATGATAAATCTCCTTTAATAATGATCTTTATAAATAACAAGAACTTCAAAAGATGTCCTTACAAAATGATACAATATTAAAACTCATTCATTATACAAATTATTGACACTGGCACTAGCATAACCTGCTGTCTTCTTGAAGCACTGCTGTGTACAGAAGATCTTGGCATGTGGGTCTGTTAAGCTGTTTGTTCAAAGCACTTTCATCTGTTCTCCATCTCCTGTTTTGATGTGGAACAAACACAAAGGACTTCACCTATATGGACAAAGCCCCACTCAGACATATGACTTGCCTAAGATACGCAGAAATATTTCTGCAAATGTTCCTTCCAGAACAGATGTGGAGTTGCTGAAAATCATTCTTTGAAAGGTGGCAAGCAACTGGTAGAGGCAAGGTGGGAAGAAGTGGACCCTGGTAGCAAGGATATATCCACACACACATTCCTTGTTGAAAACGAAACCAAACAAATGCAAATGAAGTGACAGCTAACGAGGAGCTCAAACAGTTTCTGATCTCCAGTTCATCAGCACATTTCATATTCTTCTTTTCTGTTCATATATTGTCTATTTTTTTCCTTACCTGGGGTAGATTTGGAGCCAGGTTTTTGTGTGAGGCCACGGGCTCTAATGACTTCTACCTCTAACTGGCCCTTTTTATCCACCATTCCAATCTGGATGTCACCTGAGAAGAAGAAAGAGGCCCACATTTTAGACAAGCACTATGGCCTGGGAGACAGTGTGTAAGAGTGAGAAACAGGAAGACTAGTTTGCTACTAGGCTGCCAGATGAGTGTGCTTGTCACCTCTCGTGATCCCTTCAATTTCTCTGTCCTTAAGCCAGGACTAAAAGATACGTATATAGAGAGCACAGTGCCCTCTCTTGGGGTAGGGTTCATACCAGAGCTCATTATTTCTGATCCATGGAGGCAGGCAAACTTACAGCAACACTGTGGTATAATACTCACACCTCTAATTTTGCACTTCTGAATTATCCAGAGACTTCCTACCTGGGAGTGTTGCCCCAGTGTGCCAGTCACTGATGTGCTGCCCTGGCAGTAGTCCCACACTCAGAGCCTAAAACCCAAATTCATGTTTGGAAATCCACTGGGCTGGAAAGTTCTGCCTCTAAGTTAAGATACAAGAGCTGGCAGGGCAGAGGTTCTTTGTCTGATGAAGCAAAAGGAGAACTGCTGACAGAAGCTAACACTGAAACCTTCTTCTACACCTACAATTGCCTGACTGGATCCTCAGTGTCAGGCAGAGGCACCAACAAGCTGAGGCACACAGTCATAGCACAGCTTCAGAGAATGATGCCCTATGCCCAGGAGCTCAGAAGAGGTCTTTTTTTTCTTCTGTAAAAGTCTCCAATAAGTACAGGGGTGACAATTTTTCTGTTTTATCAATATTCCATGCCCATTTTTGGTGTGAGTAAAACAATGCAATGTTGTAACAAAAAGCTGCTTTCACTAATAAACGCTCAAACTTGTTTCCCTACTCGAGTTCTGACAAATGACATTTCATGCAGAAAAAGGAAACTATTTAGTCTGAGACCAAGCATTGTTCTGACCTAGATCAATAAAATGCAAAGGATGTCAACGATGAGCTGATGTTCAAAGTGCTGTACCTCTATGCTTCATATAGCATAAAGTCAGCTGTGTAGAAAGCTAACAGGCCACTTAGAACAAAGAATGCACAGTGTGACATGGGCAGCTTTGTGATGCCTGTGCAAAAAAATGAACTATACATGTATCTGTGAAACATGTGAGTATGTATATATCTGACACGTAAACACTGATTGTCCAAAAAATCTCACTCACAGACAGTCCTGAACTACAGGATTTGGGATCCAGATTTTGAACGACAGCATTTTGAAATTAACCAAGCATGAAATTTTCACATGCTTGTCTAACAGTATATTAAATCAGCGCTTAGACCTTGCTACTTGAGGCATGACAGATCATCAGGGAGGATTTTTTTACCAATCAAACTCTGCTTGAATAAACAGAGCACTGTGTCAAACCAAATATAGTACACAGAAAAATTCCAGCTTTTTTTAAGAGCACGTCTCTGCATCACATATCCAAAGTAAAACACACGACAGGGAACCAGAAGGGGGAGTGATAATACAAATGTTTTCACGTCATTATTAGTGAAAGGATACCACATAGGTGGTCTTCTGGGAATTGTTAAAAAGTATGATTGAGTGCTTTTTTTGGGGTCAAATCTTGAGCCTTTACTAAATAAAGAAGTTCTAAGAAGTAAAACTAAATGTATTACTCAAGCAATCTGAAGAAAACTATTTAGTCTGAAAACAAAATTAAAGAGATGGAAGAAATCTAGACCCCTATATTCATACCAACAGAGTAATTTAGATTTTTATAGGGCAAATCATGTCACAAATATCTTCTCTTTAAAAATTATTACAAAAAAAAAAAGGAATTTAACAAGTTTGGTGCTTATTAATGCATTAGTAGCAGTCATTTGGATTTACACAGCAACCCTTGCCTTAAGGGGTACTCAAAGCATGTTCAAGGAATTTGTCTCCTGCTCAGGAGCTGGGAAGGGAACACTCTCTTCTGCAATTTTTCTTGACGTGTCTCTCTCTCCTTTTTCTGAAGTGGCTCCCTGAAGCTTATTCTTCCAAGACAGGTGTACTGAAGCATAATTTTCAGCAGTAAAACCATGGTTAAAGTAGTGGATGAAGGGCTCCTTACTTAGCATCCTAAAGCAATTCTAAGAATTGTTCATGTATAAGAAAAAAAACCCAAACAAACAACCCTCCCAAAAAATGAAACCTTCCAAAGATACTTACAGAATACCACACTGTTGCACGCCTTACACACTCATACTCTGTTCATAATCAAGACACAGCCAAGGCTAGTATAGGGAAATACAGGCTTGTCCGGAACACAGGGAAGATCACAGATAGCCCGGGCAGCTGCTGTAGAACAGGATTTTGCCTCTCTCGTAACACACTTGCTTGATCAGCAACTGATTATTTGGCACTGCAAACATGGGCAGAAGTTTCACATTCTGGGGTGAGATTAACTAAGCCTGGACAAGTGCAGAGTTTGGCCAGAAACTGTCTTGTCATATCCAATATAAGCTGTGGCAAGTAAGTATAAATTTTGAACAGCTGAGATTTTGCAGTAATCTACAACTGGAGAAGCCACAAAATTTCTGAGTGGGAAGCAAAGTGCAACCCCTGTCTTGAAATTGTAAATGAGATTAGTTCATACTGGAGAAAATGCTGGTTTTCACTCCATTTGGGATGCTAGCGGGCTAGGAATACCAGTGCTTTTGTATAGGACCTTCATGTTTACAGTGAAGGAGGCCACTTTGTAAAAGTCTCTCTAGTGTTGTAGTCTGCCAGTATGTACATTAATTAATTGGCTTGTTATTAATTTAACAGAGGAGAGCAACGTTCTTACCCATGGCAGGGGTTGCTAGCGTTTGTCGGCCTACTAACTGTGCAGGTCCGAGTCCATCAAGGAAATCACTGAACTGGCTGTCAGCACCCAGCCGCACTCCAGGAAATATTAAGCTGAAGCAAAATAAAAGCTGGTTAGGCATAAGAACAGGATTAATTTCTATTGTCCCACGGTATTTACCTCAAAATTGCTCCTGAGGAAAAGCAAGAAGCTCCAGATGTACAACCAAAATCTGTTCTGCAGCATTAGGAACGAGCTGTCTCCCATGGACCCCAAAGAAGCATAGTGGAATTCTGCACATGGACCCAAAGTCTTGCTAAGGGAGCAGTGAAGACGCTGATAAGTGAATAAACTATGAGTGACCTTGTATGAGAACACAGAAAGCCTCTTGAAATTCAATAGCCAATCATTCTTCTTTCTTGAATGCTTGATTTACCTTGTAATACTGTTTTATATCTATATATACACCCAAACCCCATCCGCATCAATTAGAACAAACAGGGAAACCAGACGTATACACTAAGTTAACCTGACTGCTGCATCTGTTTAATGAAGCAATAAATTGGCAGGTAGTACCAGTGCTGATTAGAGCTAAAGCCAACGTCACTCCCTAGCCAAAATATTCTGGTAGCCTCATCTGGATCTACAGTTGGGTCCCACATCTCTTTCAGGACACAAACTGAACTGTAACACGTTAACACAGAATATATGGAAACACTCAAGCTCAGTTTGGATGGGGCCATCAGTAACCTGATCTACGTGAAGATGTCCCTGCTTATTGAAGGGGGGTTGGATTAGATGACCTTTAAAGTTCACCTCCAACCCAGACCATTCTATGATATGGGCTTTTCTAAGGGCTTTTTCTTTTCTATGGGCTGCTTTCTTGTATTCCAGAATATCCACTTCCTTTTTAACAGATAAATACAGTCTCCAAATGATAACAAAAGAAAACAAACAAAACCAACCAAGCAAAAAAATAATGATCCATGGTAGGGAGACGTAGCTTTGACTTTCTCATCACAATTATGAGAAACAGAAAAACACACTTTGAACCAAGTCCAGATAGCATCTTATCCAGTAGGCCATCCACCACTGTATCTGCTTCTCCCTCAAAGGAAATTCCCCATTAGACTGAATAAAATAATAATAAAACTTCCTAATAAAAACATCTCATGTGAAAAGCTTTAAATTCCCCCAATCAGGCTTATTAATCTTTTTTAAAGACTGTTTCTTTAGATGGAGGAGGAAAAGAATCCAAGGGTCTCCAGTTCAACCATCGAAGCTCTCCCTTCCTGACAAGACACACAATCTGCTTCTCTCCCCACTGGCACTACTTGTTCACTCTTGTGCCTAGTATGAAAAGCTTCTTGTTCGTTTCTTTGCCCTTTTTCTCCACAATGTGTTATATTTTGCTCTGGAATGACTAACAATATTTAAAATGTTCATTTGAGAGCATTCTCAGTTTTGAAACACCTCAAGCTATACACATAATAGTGAAGGTTGTGAAGCACACATTCACCTTAATGTGTATCAATTCTAATTCATTAAACTTCAGTTACTGGCCAAGCAGAACATAATGTGGTATCTGGGGTACCTACTGTAAGAGTCTATTCTCTCCTGAATGACACGTCTGATTGGTCTAAGGAAATGCAAGAAGAGGCATGTTACTGTCAATAAACTATATGATCCTGGAGGTAAAGTCAGTATCATAATGTACATACACATGAAAGGAAAAGTAGCCCATCCAAAATTAACATAAGCATTTCCTAATTGTTTTCATTACCCACCTACCTGCTTGCCCTAGAGTAATGTCAAGGGTGAACTGCAGACAAAATACTACTCAAGCCATCAAAGTCAAGCTCTTGATGACTATGGTGGGAATCTCACAGGAGACATGAAAAACCTAGCAAGCAGCTCTGCTATTCTGAATAAAAGGTGCAATCAAAAACTGATTCACGCTTATACTAGAAATAATATCTGAAAATAAAGGTAACATTTCTAATGTTCAAAAAAGGTCCAGAAGGAGGAATAGCGGATTTTAGGATCAGCTGCCACAGTGTATGTACCCCTCCTTACATGGTGCAGTTGTGTGGTTTCCCTTCCACGTTGCAGCTGAGTCCAACTCATGTTCTACAAATAAGCCAGTGATGCAATGCATGTGGGGGAAGTGATTAAACAGTAAAAAAAAATGTTTTATTGGTGGTCTTTCTTACAAGAGTCTGCATTTAATATTTTTCCTTCACTGTCATCTAAACCCAGAGCTGCTATAAACTCACATCAAACTCATGCAAATTTGCAGACCACCTGAATGCCTTTGATCTATAGCTAAATCACACAATCACAGAAAACTTTAGAGAAGTTTTCTAAGCCACAAAGCACAGCACCACACTGAACAGAGCCCTCTAGTATTCCTTTTGCTTATGGGATTGTGCCCTGTTTAAGGAACATTTGTCTTCCTTCACTGCAGCAAGATATATTTAACTGTTCCACCTCAGTTTTGTCATCTGCCCCCTTTGGCCCATTCTCCTGGGGTTCCCTTCAGAGTCACTGTTAAATATTGATGGTGTTTTCACTTCACTGGCCTCACTGTTTCTTACTCTTGACAGAGAATGGAATAAGGAGGTACAGATCAATACCAGTGTTTAAGGCTAAGGTCAAGTGTGGAGTGGGTTTGGAGTCAGGAAATGTAGTTGAGGTATACTGAGGATCAGGAAACAATCAGAAGAGCTGGTAACTCTATCATACCAAAAGTCTGTGACAAAAACGTAGTGAAAAGCTAGGGAGCCAAAAGTATGGAACAGAAAAAGAAGGTCAAAGGTGGTCAGATGTGAAGGAAGCTATTGTATGAGAGCACAGAAAGAGGTAAGGAGAATTGTCAGAGGCAGACCTGGTGCCTGAACAGCAAGAAATGGAAAGCAGGCACAGGAGGTGAGGAGACAGAAACAAAACACTAGATGCTGACAGTGTGACCACCAGGTTATGATAGCTCACTTTACCTTGAAGGTGGACCCAGTTCTAAAAGATAATTTTCAAACTAAATCTCACTATGCACACCCAGCCTGCAATAAGAAGCAAGCACTCTGTTCTCTGTTTACCTCGCAGGCTTGCTCTCTTTGCTGCATTTCTCAGAGGCTGATTCTCAAGTCAACAATTTAAGGCTCTACCTTGCAGTTTCTGTCCTCTAGATACAGACCTTGGCTCCTCCAGCCTTGCTAAATCCATTTACAGACTCTGAGGGTGTAGCAGAGGATTAGGCTGTTCTCCTGAAACGATCCTCACCATCAGTGCTGGGCTCCCACCTCTCCCATACTGCTAATCAGGGAAGTGGGCTCCACCAGCTCCTCCTCAGCAGGGTCCAGTTTATTGGGCCCTTTGTCACCATGGTGAGTGACTGGTGCCTTACAGACTGACACTCCAGCATAGAGATAGGAAGGAGGACAGCAGGATGGAGTGTTGAGAGGGTAAAGGTGATGCTCTATCGTAGATTCAGACTGGAAAAAACACTAGGATATTTTATTCTTGTCCCTCATTCTTCATCTGATGCTTACTTAGTTTGTTTTTGAATTATTCATAATGGAGCTCATTTTTCTTACATGGCTCTTGCAATTCTTAGCATTATCATTGAATTCCATAAAGTGGTTTGGGTTGGAAGGGACCTTAAAGATCATCTAGTCCAATGCTCCTACCATGGGAAGGGACATCTTTCACTAAACGAGGTTGCTCAAAGCCCCATCCAACCAGGCCCTGAAAACGTCAAATGATAGGGCATCCTCAGCTCCTTTGGGTAACCTGTTGTAGTGTCTCCCCACCCTCACTGTAAAAAAATGAGTAAGGCTGGTGAGATCATCTGATGATGGAGAAACTGCACCTTTACACAGCTCCTTGCCATGACTATGGCTGCCCCTGGCTTTTGGTGCCTTATACAATGTGCAATAGTAATTGTGGTAACACAGTAAACATGTAAAAAGATAAAGCCAAAGAAGCCCCAATCTGTCATTTTTTCCAGGTGTATAGAGTACATTTGCCTACCCGTGGTGTCCCCTTTTGTAGGGAGGCATTTTTTAAGAATTCCCTAGTGACCAGTGTGCCTTGGCACACGCGGTAGAGTCCCACTGAGAGCAGTGAGGAGGCTGGAGCATTCATGTACACTTCTGTTTCAGATCTGCCTTTGTTCTCCTTTCCTACACATTGATTCATTCATCAGGGAATGAAAACAGCTGCCCCATTCCCCACAGCTCTCTGCCTGATTTCAGCTGATGGGGCAGCTGGGCTCGGGGTTTACAGTTCCCAATAAGAGGCTTGGACAAACTCCAAACTAAACTTTCTTTGTATATGGTATTCTGAACAGAGTTTCATGTCACAGGGACTTAAATATAACATTAGAGGTTTAACTCTGTGTTAATTCAAACATAAAGAAAATGTACCCCTATGTTTTGTTTTGAATACTGCAGTCTGAATTTAGATGTCTTTTAGTGAACAAAGTGCCTCACTGCATGACAGGGAAAAAGTGAATCCTAAGAAGTCCTCTCTCAATTTCAGTTTTCAAAAAATTTCTGTTGTGTGCCCACAATAGTTTAATTTTGCAAACATTTCAAGAGGAAGAATCCATACACAGAACTACACCCTTCAGCCAGAGCTCGAGCCTCTGTTGACATTCGAAGTCCTCTTACAAAGACAAGAAACTTCTCTTAAAACACTGATATTTTTAATGCCACTTACTTGCCCTCGGAGCTATAACTGTTTATGCTGCCATCGGTGGATTCCCGGCTTGGCTGTCGAACCATACGACTTCTCATCTCTGCTGCCATTCCTGTCTCTGTGCTTCTCTGTATCGTGCTCTTCAGCTTCTTGCTGCCAGCCTCTGAAAGCAAAGAAAAAGAAATGACAGTTAGAATGACAACTTAGAACAAAGTCTTTTCCTTCCAGTTTTCCCCCAACAACAGTGATCTGGCTTGACCATTGCTATTTAATAATACAAAAAGACTGTTCGGATTGAAGAAGGAATCTCTTTTCTTCAGTTGCAAACTGGCAATGGATTCTCTTTCAAAGGGCTGCAACCTGAAGATCTTTGTTAGGACAAACTGTTAGAAATTAGCTGTCGTTAATAACTTTTACACAGTTGGAATGTAGACAGGATGACCATGATGGTGTCTGCTATCATTTACTCGGTAAGGTGTCTCTAGACATCTTGTTAGTTAGGTTGGGTGACTACTAAAGAAGTTACAATTCTCACAGATAAAAAAAAGAGAAAAAAAATCCTTCAAGCATTCCACAAAAAATGTGAAGTACTTATTTTAGTACTTAGCATCAAGAATATAACAATGTGTTTTGACTCAGCAAAGTCTTACTTTTTACCACAGAAATTCTTCAAAATAAACAGCGTGCTTTACATAGCTTCTCATCTCAGCACTTCCTAGGCAGAATTAACTCTTGGAGAATTTGTCTGGGAGATGATGGACTTCATAGTCTAGGCATGCAACCGAACACTACAAAGTGATGTAAAACTTGCGAAATTTTTTGAAGACTTGATCAACTTGTAAAATCTTCCATCACACATTGTTTAAAATGCAACTTGAGTTCCACCTGGAAAGTTTCACATTACCCTTGAGGAAGGAGAGCATGTGGTCCTTTACAGGGGTAGTTATGGGCTCAAGGTGCAGCAGCTGATCTACAATGAATTCTGCTGCCACGCGGCAGAAATTATACTTCTAGATGATAGTACTTGTGTTCAAAGATCTTTAACTGAAATACTTCCATGAAAGTCTCTATGTGATGTAGTATTGACTTCAAACTCAATGTCCTACTCTTTTTACTTTTGTTCAGCCTATCGCTCAATGGGTAACACTGTTTTCACTCAGGAAGTAGAAGATCTGGCAATGTTTCACATAAGTGAAAACACTCTCTTGCGTTTGCTCCTTCATCCGTTGTCTGGCAAAGCCTGTCCTTCCTTTCCACAGTCTGCTCAGGGGAGCATCTGCAAAAGTACATGTTTCTTCCACTTCCACCTGCTGTGGAGACTGAATTGCTCTGAAAAAATTTTCAACTTCCAGTTTCACGTGGACATCGTTGATGTTCAAAGATGACAGATTTTGACCTTTATTCATATAAAACTTAGAGCTTTGGTAGCCCACACAAGGCTTGCCCAGTGCTCAGGGTGTTTAAACGTGCTGTGGAGAATAGCTGGTCCTTGTTCTGGGTTTGGAGAGCTGATGGAGGGCAAGGTGAATTCACAAGCTAGAGCAGCTCCCCCTCTCTTGAGTTATGACAATAACCTCTTTGGAGCTAGCAGAGACACGGCAAACATGGCCAAAGGAAAAAAAAAGAATTTGTATATTTGGCTTAAAAGAGACACTACCACAGCAAAACGGGCTGTGGTTTTCCTCTTAAGTCTTCTGGACCAGGCGTTGTTTATCTATAGCTACTCAGAAGCAGAGAAACAAATGCCTCGGAGTGGGAGAAATCAGCTACTTCCACAGATCCTTTACTCCCTTATGACGCCAAGAGCTGTGAAGTTTTTCTGTGGGCCACTGTAACTCATCCAAGTTCCCCATCTTTGGTCAGCTCAAACCACATTTTTCAGTCCTGCTAAATGTGAGGTAAAGTGAGCTAGACAAGTTGTACGAGGCAGACCAGGCTCCACTCTCAGATACTGCAGGGGGATGGAACTTCAGTGATTGCTGTATGTAGAAAATCAAATGCTACATTTTGGATCTGAGCTTTATCTTTAAAAAGAGATGGCGTGTCCAGCATATCAATGCTGAAAGGTAAGCTAGGCATCAAAAATGAATCAAAAGGCAGCCTTAGAAGTATAAACCACATGCAGAGTCCTGCACCAAAGAAGGATTTTCACATTTTTAGAAGCTATGCATTTGAACATATATTGATTTGTGCATGACTCTCTTGCTGGGACCTGTCTGAAAGTGCCTCTGTTTCCATCTGCTCCTACAAAGCGGGTGAGATTATGTGGTTTACCCCCTGCCTTCTTTTCTGGAGCCAGCCAGATCAGGCAGCATGACCAGAAGGATATAATATGGTATACCCTGAAATATGAATATTCATGGCTCAAGAAATGGGAATGATGAAACACTACAGGTACCTACAAGATCATCATGACCTTGGTGCAAACTGGGAAAGAGACATTGCTCTGAACCACCTGGACAACACAGTGGGAGCTGAAATTTGGGGATTAAAGCTAGACTGTTGCAAAAGCATAATGAAGACAGTTATAGAAATAATCACTGTAAAAAATATCCATTGAGTAAATTACAGACATGAATATTTTAGCTTTGAGCCACAGTAGGGATTGAAAATAGCAAATAGGTTTGTGTATGTTTAGTTTTAGTTGTTTTTTTATTTTATATTTATATTACTCTTATATTTCATGGATAACACCCATGTTGCTGCTTGACCATACTTCTTTCCTCCAGAGATATTAAATGCATAGACCATGAAGCAGGAATCTTTGTGCATGGCCATAAACAAGTCCACAACTTTGTCTCACTGTGCTGAAAATACCAGATGGTATTTTTCCAAATATTTTTCAAGTCACTGCTCTCTGTCTTCCTGTGCTGGATTCCACTTCTTTTCTCATCAATATTTCTTTTTCAGGTTGAAGATTTTAAAAAAAAAAAAAAAAAAAGACTTTGCCTCCTCTTGTAATCGCTGCTAACATCCACAGTGTTTCCTGGGAAAACTAGAGCCCTCCTGCATATTTCATTGTATAACCTCAGTCTTAATATTCTTCAGTACATTCAGAACTATAACGTAAAAGTAATCCAAGAGAGAATTGTAAAATGCATCAAGAGTTTTACGACATAAAGGGAATTGGTTTTGCCTATGACCAAGAACTGAAACCCACTGTACAAGTTTTGCAAGTTTTAACCGTGCTTAGTTATGCATATAATATTTTTTTGTCCACTTATAGCACAAAAAGAAAGGAGAACAGTTTATTTTGTTGGTGTACTCCTGTAAACTTCTCAGAAAAACCTAGTTCTGCAAGGGAGGGAGGTGGTTGGCATCCAGCTGAGTTGGGAGCTACTGTTATTTCGAACGGCGCCTCAGTAACGTCAAGTACAACTTCCAGCCCTGCCTTGACTGCACAATGAAATACTGAATCTGAACAACTACCAGTGTTTCTACTGCTCTTGTTAATTTAAAAAAAAAAAAAACAAAAACAAAAACAAAACCACAAAACCCTTTCATTTTCATCTTGCAATACTTTTATCTAACAGTTCTGCATATCTTTAGAATGCTGTCTTTATACAAACAGTAAAAGTTCATAAAATATTTAAGTTCAATATCTGTGCTATGATATCTTGAGACAATTTTCTGCTCTTGTCTGGGTATCTATTGCAGGATTCTTAGTTTGATATGTGCAATTAAATTTTATAATATGTTAAATGTATCTGCCTGCACTGTGTAAATTACACTATATTCATCGTGCGGACTAAAGATAAACTGTCTCTTACACTGAATACCATTTAGGGGCAAAATTTACTCCAAAATGGTCTGTATGCTTCTGTCTGCTATGTCTATTGTATAAGGCTTTCTGCGTACAGAAATGCAGACTGACGTGCATAAATTGCACATAAACACACAGTTTAACAGGTGCAAGCTTAGAGAAAAACTATTACAGAGAAAATATGATGACCATTTTTGCAGATTTAGTAGCTGATGCAAAAGGAACAAAGCAGCCACCTGCAGCTACAAAACATACACATCTTGTGAGCATTTTGCAGTTCATCAACAGCCTTGTAGCACTCCTGCTACAACACACTGATGGATGTGTGCAATGTGCTATTTCAGTCTACCTACTATAAATACAGTCTGTAGTGATTCCTTTTTTGTCTGACAAGAAACTGGTCCCTGATTTTGTTGTTCTCAGGCAAAAGTAAATCAATGGAGATTCTGATCTAAGTAATGGTCAAGATCAAAAAGCAAGCTTGTTATTGTATCCACTATCTTACATTTGCACAAAATATCAATGCAATTGGTGTATCCCAAATTTCTGTACTTCCTAATCACCTCCAAGTATAGCAGCCAGGAGCAAAATGCTACTGACAACAGAACTGTATTACTGAAGAAGGGTCAGTGATACTATCTATAGAACTAAGAAGGCCTACTAAAGATATCTCAAGGCTAAATTTAGGTTTCTAAAGGTATCCTGTTCAGAGAGGACAATGCCAGGACAAATGGCCCAAATGACTTGTATCCACGACTGCCCATAGCAACGGCATGACTGCGCATGGCATCACCTTTTCCTCTGGGCACCCTGTGGTACCTGGAGGCTATTAATACATTTTGGTCTTTTTTCAGTATAGTAAATCATAAATAACAGAAGGGGCTGTGCCACAACCTGCTGGAGTAAAGCTTTTACCCTGTGATGTCACCGTGCATATTTCATGCCATGGGACAAGGCTAGGGGACATACAAGAATATGCAGGGACACAAGCTTGGTGACTTAGCCAACAGGACAATGTTAAAGACCTCTGCAGGGCAGAAGACAATCCTGACACGGTCTTCTATGCACTGCCTGTAGGAAGCAGTGCCTTGTACAAGCATCACCCAGAATCATACCCGAGGGAACTAGGTGTTTAGCAACAACAAAAAAAAGAAGCAGATTTACACATGCAGCACCTGGGTACGTGTCATGGAACATTTGTGACTGGTCCGTAAGAACGCTCTGGAGAACAAAGCATACACCACTGCTAAATCCACTAATGAAAGGGATGATAAGAAGGGTACTAACACTCAATGTCATCCCATGACTCAAGGGCAAATTATGCACGATATCAAGCATGATCATGCATCCAAAGGAATCTTAAAAGGACTACTGCTCCAAGCCAGCTCTGACTGAGACCT